AATGTTTGTTTTCATTTAAATGGGCTTGGTTATAAATGGTTAATAATCACAGCCAATTCTTTTTAAAGGTAAAAAGGGGATTATGGTATAGATATGAATACTTTGTTTTGGAATGGATTTTCATTTATTAATACAATTTAAGGTCAATTTTGTGATATGTATATTTCTCTTGTTTAGGCATTGTATTTATATAGCTCATTTAAATATATAATGTATAATTTAGTACAGATTTTAGATAGTTACCTCTAATAGTAAAAACTTATAGCTAGGTGAGTTAGGTTTTCTAGATATATAGAGATGTATTTGAGATAGATAGGAATTCTTCAAACCTTTCAAAGACCTACAAAATATGGCATTTAAAATGGTTTAGGGTTTTACTTGACAGTGAGACATAACTGCTCCTGGCAACACCACCTACATCAGAAAGGAAGATGTACATTGAAGAAACAAACTCGTTATGAAGTTTACTTCCAATATGGCAAGACTAGCCATTTGGACAAGATACTGCTCTTGTCTGGACTGTTTGACTTTCTGCTGTATAAACTGGACATGCAGGACCCACAGAAAAGTGACTGCTGATTCAAGATGGACATTGCTACAGTGTTCCTGCTTCATGGAAGAGTCTGCCAAACAGTCTGCGGGACACAGAGGAAAGTGACTGACAAACTACCAATACAAGAAGACAGTTTAAAGTTTCCTGCTTTGCTGAAGAGTCTGCCAGACACACTATGGCCTATGGGCTGAAGATAGAAGATTACAAAAGAACTTTGGGTGACCAGGCAGTGAGTTGTCTCTGTCATTTCTAGAGTTTATATACTATCCTTCTGTGGTCTTTGAGGGACTAGAAGACAGAGAGTTATGGTTACAGTTTTCCTTAGTATTAAAGATAAGTTACTTAGACTTTAGACACACAAAGATAGGCTAGATGATGGAATATTTTCTTCAAATCTTGCTAAATGTTAATGGACTAAATAGTGTTAACTGTGATTCTTATTTGATAACTGTTATGTGATATATTTTGCTATGTTAAGGTTAAAACCCTTCTTTTTATTTAGACAGAAAAGAGGAGATGATGGGAGATGTCATTCTGTATATGTTTCTCATACTGGTTAATGAATAAAGCACTGTTAGCCAATAGGAAAGGAAGATAGGAAGGACTAGGAGACAAGAAGGAAATAGGAAGTAGTAAGGAGGAGCCAAGATGGAGAGTCTGGAGAGACTAGAACCACCTGCTGCCTCTCGCTGGTAAGACCATGTGGAAATATATAGAAATGGGTTAATAATTAACACAGAGCTAGCCAATAAGAAATTAGTAACTGGCCAACAGAATTATATCATGTACAGAGTCTCTGTGTGTTATTTGGGGCTGGCACGGTGGCGGGACAAGACTCAGTGGCGGGCGGAACAAACAAACCCTACTCCCTATACTCCTCAGTGCCCTTCTCTTTCCTTGTGCTCTGATCTGTCTTATACTCTGTTTACAAAGTCCCCACCAAGGCTGCTGCCAGCCAAACAATGCTCTCAATGTCTGTCTGTGAATATATTTGCAGCACCTGGGTCTGGTGAAAGATGGGCATACCACCACCCCTTGCTGGGGTTGGAGACACACCTATTTCCAAGAATGGGCAGTGCGGGGAGGGGGCAGAGGGCAATGAAGTGCTTGCCAACAATTACAGACTGGGATGGGGCTAACCAACTGTGTGAGCAGACAGGGTACAGCATTACTGGCCCTTCCTGTACCTCTCCACAGACAAACTCCTGCAGATACAGTTAGCAAAAAGCACAAGCCGGAAGCTTCTCACAACAATGTTGCAGCTTCTCAGTAAGGTGAGGAGATTGCGATACAACTCACTCTGCTAGGCATTTGAAAGCATTTTGATAGCTCTCTCTGATCTTCAGCTGCTCCCCGCCCCCAGATCTTTCCCACGTGCAGGTCTCTCTTAAACTCTCATCTAGAACAATGTGGTCCTTCATCTTTCCAGCACCCTGTCTCTGTTCCTCAGCCCTCATTTATAGCAAGGGGCCCAGGACCTGGGTGAGCATGCTCAGCAGTGGCTTCCTTCACAAGCTACAGAACAACAGAATTGCAAACACTTACACTACAAAGGCTTCCTCTACCACATGTACAAACACAGAATGTTTGCTAACACAGTCTAGAACCTTCCTTTCTAAATAAAGGAGGAAACTAAGTGTTCTAGGAATGGTGTGCTCTAGGACCCTGCCCTATGTACAGCGCAGCCTAACAGATGCATTACAGATCTGCATCTCCAGAAAACACCACAAAAAGGCAAAAGGTCTCCCTCCTGGCATAGTGGGTGCTTTGTAGCCACAGATCAAGTCCTGCTGAGAATGAGATTGTTTCCACTCTCTTGGGTCCCTTCCACCCACATGTTACTAAGGATTCCCCTCCTAGGCAGAGAGAGATGGATCTGGACACAGAGGAATATGCAATGGCCAGGCCCAGTACCTTTCCCTTTGATGTATCTATCTTGATGCCAGTTTGTCTGACTTTCCCATGAAGCCCAGGGCCAGAAGTAAGATAAAGACTGCTGCTAGTCTAGGCACCAACTGAAATTTAGTCATTCATGCCAGTTTCACAGGTTGAGAAATTCTTACTGATTCACTGATTTAGCATCACGGGGATGAGACCTGGGGCCTTGCACATGATCTTCAAGCACTCGGCCAGAGGAGAGGTTTTCTGAAGCAGGGTTTCACTACTCATTATTCCTGATCCTCTTGCCTTTGCAATTTATAGATGTGGGTCTCAAAAAAAAAAAAAAAAAAAAAAAAAAAAAAAAATCAACCCAGCTGGCCTGGGGCAGAGGGTTCCCTGAAGTGTGGGACTTGGGGTGCCGAAATCGTAACAACCCCTCAACAACTTGAGGTGACTTTCTACTGAAGAGGGGATAGATAGGACACTGAGACCATGGCCTCACAAAGACCACCTGGTTCACAAAGGATCCAGTTGCTCCATAGTCCAAAGATGACAAGAAGTCAGCTTCCAAAGTGTGTCTAGACCGTGTGTGCCATAGAGTTTCAGTCAATCACTCTGGGAAATACTGCAAACTCCATCAGTTCCCTTTATGAACACTCCAGACATCAACTCATCAAATCTCTGACACGTCCTGCAGAGATGAATACATTATGTCCCAAATTAATTATACCCCACAGCTTGTTGTCTCTTGATGGTCACAGTCATTTACTGGGTACATTTTGGAAATGGAGAGTTATCTATAAATACATGAGTGGCAGACACAAGGCCTACTTCAGTCAGTCACACACCTGCCTCAGAAGTCAGTACCATTCTCCTTGAACTCAGTGAAAAGTATGCTCCATGCTATAACCCAAGCCAAAATAGTATCATGGTCCAGTGAGATGACTCACTGTGTAAAGGTGACGGTCGTCAGACTGAATGACGTACCTGTGTTCAGTCCCAGGGCCTGTATGGTAGAAGGAGAGAACTGACTCACAAGTTGTCCTCAGACTTCTACACATGCAACACAGCACATGCTATGCCTATACCCACAAATAGGTAGATAAATAAATAAATATTAAAAATTAGTGTCATGGCCGGGTGTCGGTGGCTCACGCCTTTAATCCCAGGACTCGGGAGGCAGGTAGATCTCTGTGATGTCTAGGACAACCTGATCTACAGAGTGAGCTCCAGGACAACCTCAAAAGTAATACACAGAAACCCTGTCTTGAAAACCCAAAATAAAATAAAATAAAATTAGTGTCACGTACCACAGTTTTAATTTTTTAAAAAAAAAAAAAAACTGTGCTCTATTGAGAGTTTCAAAGTATGACTAGAACCAATTAGAACAAATCAGAATAGTATCCACTGAAGACTTGAAACACAATTTGTAGTAATGTGGATTTTGTGCAGGATTGATATCATCCATTCTGTCAACAAACCAAGCATTAGGCCAGGCTAGGGACACAGTAGTAAACAAAAATAAACAAGGTCTCAGTGCACTTTCCACTTGGGGCTTCCAAGCTTCCAATGATAGGACACGCGGGGGCACATAGGTGGCTCTTAGGCCAGCTTCATAACAACTGTCCAGAGAGGGTTAGGCATTGTGGATGAAACGGGTGGGCCTGGCACAGCATGTCTGGAGTGTAGTGCTGGGCAGAGGGACATCACAGGCAATGGCCAGGGGTGGAGTGCTCACAGCAGTTCTCACAGATCTACGTCACCACCACAGCCACCTGAGTACCCTGGTCCTTCATGTGCGGTGTCATCATTGTTAGGAACTAGCAGCCAGCTAACCCCTGCTCCCCCCCCAAACACCCCCCCCCGACGATGGGCGGGACGTTCATGGCCATGTCATCGCTACATCAGCCTTACCTGGCAGCTCAAGCTTTACCTGGCTGCCAGAGGACTCAGTTACACATGCGCAAGCCCCCCTTTTAAAGCAAGCTTGCCAAGCATGCCTCTCTCTCTTGCCCCCTCTTGCCCTCTCTCTCTCTCTCTCTCTCTCTCTCTCTCTCTCTCTCTCTCTCTCTCTCTCTCTCTCTCTCGCTTTCGGTTGGCCACCAGCTACCCCCTATTTCTCTCCCTTCTCTCAATAAACTCCACGTGGGCGCTGAGTCTCGTGTTTGTGTTTCTTAGGCATTAGCTGCAGCAAAAGAACAACAATCATCACATTCATTTCAAGGAGGAACTGCGTGACCCATCCTAGGCCAGGAAGAGTCTGCTGTTTCCTCCTTGAGAAAATTCCATGAGTGCCTTAAATCCCTGGAAACCAGCCCCCCCCCCCCTGCAGGCTTGAGCCTGCACATCATCAGTCTGGCAGACTTCCTATTCCCTTTTCCTCCACTCCAAGGAACATAGAATGATGCTGGCTTGACAAGTCCCCTACAGCCACATGCTCTGTGTCCAGGACAGGTGATGTCATCCATACACAGACACACAGCTGTCTGTAGGCGAAGCTTGTAAGGAGAGCAAAGTGTAGCAGTGTTGTCCCAACAGGACAGGGCTACCCAGGACAGATACTTACCCCTCTGAAATTCCAGGCTTTGGGAGAGGGAAACATTGAGAAGTTGCTCTGCCTCAGCCGCTTGGGTCTGCAAGGGAAAGGCAAATGTTACTGTTTGGTGATTAGATGAGCACAGGAAGTTCTTCCCCACCAAGAGGGAAGCCAGCTGGACAGGTGGCTGGGGGCATGAGGTAGAGGACTGTTTCTGAGGCTTCACTGGCTACTTTTACCCCAAACCCCTGCTTGGTCCCCAAGAGAAAAGTCTCACAAAAGAATAAACCTTTCACCTGTGAAAATCAAATCTACAGCAAAACCAGGATGCAGCCAAAAAGTCAGACCCACGCCCAGCATCACTCTTTCTGTCTAACATGCAAACAATTCCCAAATGGACCCCATCAGATGATGTAATATTCATGGCTTTGATTCAGCCAGGAACTCTCCCTCATTACACACAGGCTGAGGAGCCCCAGTGTCTCCATGAAGGCCACACATGCCCTAGGTTTTAATTTTTTATTATATTTAGTTATTATGTATGGAGAGTGCAGCGTGCCATGGCATGTGATTGGAGGTCAGGGGACAACTTGTGAGAATCGGATCTCTCCTGCCATGTGCCTCTTCAGCCTTTACAGCAAGTGCTTTCACCCCACCCCCTGAGCCATCTTACCAGCCCCACCATACTTTTTTTAAGCGAAGGCAAAATAAAAGATGTGAATTTGATGAAAAAAAATCTTTGCGTGATAATAAAGTAAATAAAATTGCATCAGCCAGAGCACAAGAGGGAATTCTGTCTGTAACTGAGGTTAGCAGGGCAGAGAATACGGATGAAGAGGGCTTTGCTGTGGAGATGAAGAGTCCGGGAAGCAGTCGTGTAAGTCCCCGCCCCACACCTGCTGGCCTGCTCGCCGCCTGGCCTCTATCACACCTGCACGACTTCTGCACTGACTAGCTCTCCTGCCTCTTTAGCGTTCACTTCCTGTCATGTGTCTGTGTGCAGAGCCACTTTCCCCGGTGAGCGTCTCATAGGAGACCTGCCAAGCTAAGGCCCAGGCCTCCCCAGAGGTATCACAAAAGGGCAACTTTGGCCAGCAAGTGGGACACAGATGCTGGGGCCAGCTCTGCTCTAGAGGTGTAACACTGAATCAGTGACCTGTCTCTGGTCTCTATTTCCTCCATGTAAAGAATGTCAGGGAGTGTAAGGGTTGGATGCGCTAAAGTATTATGTCCCTGGGGCCTGACACAGAAGATGCATGTTGAAAGTGCCCCATCCAGGGTCAAGCCTGAACCTCACACACAGTAGGAGCTTAATAAACAATGTCTAGTGTTGACCTCGGTAAACAAACCCATCTCAACATCTTTATAAGACACACGCAACAGGAAACGGCATACAACAGGAGAACAGCACACAGCAGGACAACACACAGGAGGGCAGCAAACAACAGGAAGGCAGCACACATAGGATGACAGCACACAGTGGGACAGCACACAGGGATACAGCACACAGGAAGACAGCACACAGGGATACAGCACACAGGATACAGCACACAGGGGGACAGCACACAGCAGGAGGACAGCACACAGCAGGGGGACAGCACACAGCAGGGGGACAGCACACAGGAGGAGGACAGCACACAGTAGGACGACAGCACACATAGGATGACAGCACACAGTGGGACAGCACACAGGACGACAGCACACAGCAGGACAGCACACAGGAAGGCAGCACACAGCAGGAGGACAGCACACAGTAGGAGGACAGCATACAGCAGGACAGCACACAGGAGGACAGCACACAGCAGGGGGACAGCACACAGGAGGCGGACAGCACACAGTAGGACGACAGCACATAGTAGGATGACAGCATACAGGAGGACAGCACACAGCAGGGGGACAGCACCAGCAGGGGGACACATGCACCTGGGGAGTAGGGAAGGCGGCTCCCATAGCTGAGCCATCAAGGTCTCTGACCCCAGCCAGGCTGAGGATTCAGCCTCGCTATGCTGCCTCTGTTCCCTGGGCCTTCCTCCAACCTTGTGGATACTCTGTGACTACAGGGGGTCAAATGGCAGCCAGCTCCTCACACCAGAGCTGTCCACATGGGCAGCACTAGAGGGGATGCTACCACAGAGGACTGAGAAGAGATGGTGGGCCCAGGTCCAGCAAGACCCTTCCCAGGGTTCTGCAGCGTGCTGGATCCTTCCTGTACGATTCTCTTCTTCCAGGGCCTGGCATAGTTCCTGCCCTGGTCATCAAGGGGAAAGAACCTGCCAAGTGCTGTGATGAACTCAGGATACTCCCAAGACAAAAATTACCATGGGGGGCTGTCAGCTATGACAAACATTTTCACATGCTGGCCAGCTATGACAAACTTTTCTGGAATGAAGTAAGGCCAGCAAACACAGGCCAGGGGTGGGAGAAGAGTGCTGCCAGATTCAAGGCCTGATCAAGACCAGGTCCACAGTGACCTTGGGTGACTTCCCCACCTTCCCCCAGTCTTCAGTCTAACATGGAAAAGGATGTGATAAGACTTCACCTTCACAGGGTCGCTTTGAGGAGCGAAGGAATAATTGTGATGACGAGTTTACCCTCTCTCTGGCTCACACTAAAGACCTGTGCAGTCTACAACATGCTGGGCATTACTTTAGGAATGGGAATATGACCGAGAGCAAAACACAGTGCCTGCTCTCTTGGGAGCTCTTACAGAGAACAACAAAGCAGAGCACGGGGAGTGGGGGCAGGAGAATAATAGTGAGACGAGCTACTATTTTATGTGGTCAGGGCAGGGCAGGCCTCTCCAAGAAAAACAATGATTCAGCACAGACCTTGAAAGAATGGGAGAATGTCTCCTGTGGCCTGAATGAACATCCAAGGTCCACGGGCAGGTAGGACATGTTTGGCCCAAGCTAATGAGATGCAAATTGGGGTAGGGAGTGAATAGAGAATACAGGGTTACTGGAGCAAGAACCAGGGTTAGAGTTTTATAGGTAAGCTCTTTAGATTTTAGTCTGGGTGAATTGGGAGCTCTGAGCAGAAGACAAACTGGTCTAAGTTGTCAAACGATGCTTTCTTTCTTTCTTTTTTTTAAGTGCAATGTGAACAGAGCTCTAAGAAACAACACGGAACAGGAAGGGGTGGGTGGGGGGGCAGTCCTTCGATGACCCTGATAAGGAATGGCAAGAACTTGGAACAGTGGCAGAAGGTATGGGAGACTGGTGAAATAAAAGAATTAAAGATGCTCCACAAGAGAGGAGGCCTATGGGGAGAACAGAGCTGGGACAGAACCCAAAAGCAGACAGATCACACTTGACATGACTGGCAGAGAGTGCTCATGGGAAGTCTGCTATAAGCACATGAATGCCCCTGCCAAGACAAGAAGGCGCTTGAGGGAGAACATTGCGGGGGAACAAATGACAGATGTCCTTCAAGGAAGTCAGTGGACCACTAAGTGGTCAAACAGAAAGACACCCTTATACTGGCAAAAGGTTCCCCAGTGATTCCCATGGATGCGAGTGGGGCTAAGGGCAAGGGTTGAGAAACTCTCTCCCAACAGTGAGGCATAAGTGCTACTTGTACAGAATGGGAGCTGACAGAGATCCCAACTACTGTCAGCCCAGTAAAGTCTTGAAACCACGACTTCCCTCAAGTGGGCATGTTGTCTGTCTTTTTATGGTCCACTGGAGAAGGTCAGATGACAAATCAATATGTAAAGACTTCCCCGATTGCTCCTGACATCTGCTGTCAGGCAGCCCAGGCCAACAGGGTCCCCACTCTGGCAGTATAGCCAGAAGATGGTAAGATACAGCATAGCCCAAGTGCCCCTCCTCTCCCTTAACCGCAGGACACCTATTCAGCAGACACAAACACCAGTATCTGAACCATTCGTGTTCTCACCCCATTGACAGGGCTGAATCAATAGAAGCATTGGGATTTTGTTTTGCCTTGTTTTTTGTTTTTTGTTTTGTTTTTGTTTTGTTTTTTTTCTGAGACAGGGTTTCTCTGCATTGTTTTGGAGCCTGTCCTGGAACTCCATCTGTAGATCAGGCTGGCCTAAAACTCACAGAGATCCGCCTGCCTCTGCCTCCTGAGTGCTGGGATTAAAGGTGTGTGCCACCACCACCCCTCTCGCAGTGGGATGTTTTTTAAGGGATGTTTTGTAACAGAGGTTCTTTGAAAATCTGGTGTTGGAAGCGTTTTCTTTTTAACATCCAGAGGCTATGAATGGTGATCCTGAAGCATGGGGGGGGGCACTTTTAGAAGCCAAGGGATGGCTCTCCCTCCATCACCCCAACTGCATCCATCTGAATGGCTGCATGCTTGCAGTACAAAAGGTTTCCTGTGTCCTACAGAAATCCACATCCCAAGCCTGCAGGTCACAGCCCATCAGATCAGCTTAGCATCCCTCTGGAAAGAATAATTAGTTTTCTACTCTTTAAGCAAGCAGCAGGTGGTTACCTCTCTAACGTTCTGTCTGGGGAGCCCCAGTTCTTTCTCCTTTTCAGATGCTACCTTCCCATGGGTCCTCTAGAGTGCTGCCCCCAGTCTGGGTGGAGTAAGACACCAGAGTACCCTGCTTCGGAGGAAAACATGGGATGTCACCACGGGCACCTCATCTTTGCCAGCACTGGCCTTCAGCGCGCGCACACACACACACACACACACACACACACACACACACACACACACGGGACTCCTCTTTGCCAGCACTGGCCTTCAGCACACACACACACACACACACACACACACACACGGGACTCCTCTTTGCCAGCACTGGCCTTCAGCGCACACGCACACACACACACACACACACACACACACACACACACACACGGGACTCCTCTTTGCCAGCACTGGCCTTCAGCACACACACACACACACACACACACACACACACACACACACACACACACGGGACTCCTCTTTGCCAGCACTGGCCTTCAGCACACACACACACGGGACTCCTCTTTGCCAGCACTGGCCTTCAGCACACACACACACACACACACACACACACACACACACACACACACGGGACTCCTCTTTGCCAGCACTGGCCTTCAGCACATACACACACACACACACACACACACACAC